AGAAGAAAACTAGAAGGGGAAAGATAACGAAAGCCCTAGGCGAGGTTATTAATTCAATCGACCGGTTTCGTGAGGGAGTACACGGCCGTCTTAGAGCATTAATAACTGTTGGAGTCAGCTTCTGCTGTCTCTGAAGTCATTGAGTGTGCAAAATGAAAGGAAGTGTTTAAAATCTATGTTAACCATACCAATCATTATCATCTATTAGCTCAACCAGCAGACGATGGTGGAAAGGAAAAATATAATGTAAACTCTATTCAAAAGCTAATAAGCAGGGTTCTTATAAATTCTTGGCATGTTCAAACATCTGTAACTTGAATACAATTCATCGTAGAGCATCAACATTTGGTGGACACACCTTTGAGACCATGAGGAACACGTTTCCGTGGTCAGTGACAATGGTCACCAGAGGTCCTATATCTGCTGAATTTGACCACTTTGGCTTGCATTCGTGGGATGACATAGACAGCTGAACGAAGTTGTCCAATGTTCAAGGCTATATGTTGGCATCTTTCAAGTCAGTTAAGATAACAGGCACTGCACGATACACAACTGACTTGAGGTATCCTCTTAACCAGGAATCAAGTGGAGTCAGATCTGGAGATCGTGGTGGTCACGCTTAAGGGAAATGCCTGCTAACTACCCAGATTACCAATAGAGTCTGTCCTAACAATGGCCCTTACATGGCAACGTCGGCAGATCATCGGCATTGGCATTCATGGCTCTAGCTTGGCCAACCATTTTTCGGTTCTTCGTTGGCAAAGGACATCAGCCCATTCATCGCAATGGGCTGGCTTGCCGTGATGTGGCTCGTCATCGGCCACGGAAAGAGCGCCATTCATGGTTTTCCTACTTTGGACCAGCCTGCCGATGCGATGATCTAATGTGCCCAAGTTGCACTTAAAAGTTGTAGGGAAATGTTTAAGTTCTCCACGACAATAGACGGGGACAATATGGTTCTCGCTTTACGCACAGTGCACAAAAATACCCTTCCTTCTTTAACGCTCTTGCTGCCAAATTATTTCAAAGTACATGTTAGTCTAACACAGCATTTACCATATGTTTCGCCTTGTCTCATAATAGGAATCAAAGTGGCCATTTAATCATTTATTACCCCCATATTCGATAGAGATTCGTGAAGTCCAGGAAATAAACAAGCTCATGTTTCCTTTAAAATCCTTTACAAAGCAGCGTGATTTAATCAAACAGAACAGGTGCTTAATACAATGATGTATTCGCGAATTCACTCCATCATTTCCTACCCTCCATAGAAAATGAAGGGGTGCAGCATCTCCAGAAAGGTACCAAATCTGGTACATTCATGGGAAGAATCACCTTCTCAAAAATGTATCATCACATGATGTACTGTCCTCAAATGTACGATTCATTGGCCAATCTCTAGCCGATGTGACATTTAGATCTTGGGCCATTACTGGCAGCCAAGAAAGGCCCAAGAACTTTGCCAATGATATGCCATGGTTGACCCAATCATGTTTTCGGCTATCTGGGTATACGATCACCAACATAATTCATCAGCAATGTTTTCACAGTCCGTGCAATGTGTGGGGGTGCACCATTTTGCATAAAGGTTGTCTCATTCAAAACTCCACGTAGCATGAGTGCAGGAATTACATTTTCCAACATGGATCGATAGCGCTCACTGCTACAGTGTGAAATCTGGTGTCCGTTGATTCCTCAAAAAAGTGCGGTCCAATGGTGAATTGGCTGGCAAATCCACGCAAAACTGTCACCTTAACGTCTTCCAATCGATATTCAACAAAAAACAAGGGGGTTGATATTTGCCGAGATGACGGTTTCGAATGTTGTCTAACCAGGTGTCACCAACATGCATTCGGGCTAGAAATTATAGCGCAAAGTCTAACCATGATTGTGGGTGTCCAGGTTCCAGTTGTTGGACAAGCTTAATCCTGTATGGGTACAGTTTAAATGTTTTACGCATTACTTTCCAGACTGGATGGTGGGAGTCCTGTTGGACAACTTGATTAGTGCTACATTCTCCATGAGGATTTACTTGTACAATCTCAGCTGTTAGGCTGACTTCGCCAAGCCTCTCTGCTGCGTGGTCCTTTAATAAGGCCTGTCTCACGTCTTCAACACCGTAATGCTTTACAAGCATTGCTGCCATTGCTATAATGATGACGTACGAGGACAATCCTTGAATGTAATGATAGCTTGTTACGTGACATCTTCAACAACAGAATGAGTGCTGATAAGTGTGTTGGCGGTTTCGTAGCAACAGATTTTGATTTTGAACAGACTACAGGATGTTCCGAAAGTTTCTGACCTAGTCAAACAAAATTTGCGTTAGTGCTATGCCATCCGCAGGCTACGTGAAGGTCCGGACGATCTGCTCAGGCCAAGAAAGGCTGTTCTAATAAAGGACGGAGGCCCATGACTGAAGATAGGTTTCCCGTACCGTGTCATCGAAGAGACTGGTGTTCAGATCTGGAAGAAGTTGACTAAGAGCTGTCCGGACCTCAACAGTCCAAACACCTGTGACACAGCTTCCAGGAGAGTGTTCTTTGTTAGCCCCACCCCATAAATCGGGCGTCAGTCGCTACCAGCTTTCCAAGCGGAGTGAGAAACCACCACGAAGAATGTCATCTGTCGATTCGTTGAAAGCATTCGGACGCGAATCCAAGGTTCCCAGAGGCCGGGGGAAGTCATAACAAGTATTGAAGCAAGAGTTGGTTTCTGGGGTATTCCTGGCTATTCGAAAAGCAAAAAAGTCAATAATTTCCATTATTCTCGTCTCGACTTTATTTTAGAGGGTCAGAAACTTTCGGAGCACCTTATATGCACATGTAGTGATCAGTGAAGCCCTCTGGTGGCAATTGCCGTTGACAAGGGAAGCGTGTTCCCCATGGTCTTAAAAGTTTGTCTATCGAATATTATTACTCCAAGATGAATAGTATTCAAAATGATAGATGTTAGAACATGCCAAGAAACCTTATACGAACTCTATATATGCCAAGATCTTCCACGATCCATCATCAAGCAGCAGGTATTGGACGTTCTGCACGGTTAGAAATGGCGATACTCAGATAAGACTCCTGCACGGACCGATTCTTTGGAATCCGACCCGATTCAAGTATTGGCCGACCCGAAGCCCGAATGGCAGCCCAACTTCACGGTCCGACCCGACAGGAGGGAAAAAATTTTCAGTCCATGTTTTTCAGTTTACTCCCTCATAATTTCTGATTGCTCTAGAAAAAAAAGAAGAGATCTTGTCGACTGTCTGGCTAAACCGATATAAGACATTCTTCAATGATGTGACAGGCCAAACTAAAATAAGCAACACTGGACACGCAATACAAGTCTGATTTCGGCTCTCCGAAAACCTTCTTCACACATTTGATCTCAGAGGAAGGCTCGCTTTAGAAATGACACAGAAGCCACTATTGACCTGTCATACAATCACAAGGTATCGTAATACTGGCATTTCTATTCCATGCTTATGAGAGAGGATATTATATGGCATGAGAAAATTTCCTGGTAGAACGGGACAGCTTCCCGTCTAAATGGCGTCGGGTCGAGGTAGTTCCCCCTTTCCCGTCTCTGATTCTGGTAGTCTTTATTAACTTGTGCAGTACATATTAAATGATTCTCCTTCGCATAGGCAAAAATGCATAAATGCATTCCAATCCAGACGCAGAATATCAATGTGCCCAGCCCAGAGGCAAAATTTGAAAAACAAAAAGCCGAACAAAAATTTGGCTCGGTCCGACCCAACGCGAAGAGAGATCTTTGGAATTTCGACCTTTGCTCACATTGCACTTTGTAATAATGCCTTAATTCCCCACATGACGCATGTCCAGAGGCGACTTCCACTCCGACTGGTTTTTGTGAAGCTTACTTGTCTGTTGGCTCTTGTCTACCTAACTAGAGCTACAAAAAGAAAGTATTTCAATCACCAGTAAACAAATGTTCACTGGGTTATAGAATTACTATAGGCCGAAATTCGAGCTTGTAGGCATGATGGAAGACGAGAAGCTTCTAGCTATGGTTAGATAAGAGTTCAAACTATTTCCCCCGAGGTTTGACATTTTAAAATCCAAATTCATATGCTGCATTCTTTAGTTTTTTCAAGTCTGAAAATTTTAACCATGACAAGATTCAACAATAATACCAAGTTGTCAGTGGATCAGATCGGTGCAGTTATATTCCATGAAATGATACTGAAGTTGCATATTTTCACACTCGCTGATAGTGAACAAGCTCATGTGAAGTGAAACCTTTGTATACATATCGGCTCCTGTACCAGTTTTTCATGGATGTTCACTCCTCTTGATCTTGCTTGCAATCCAAGAGAAAGAAATAAAAATATAAAAACACCACACCAGCATCACAGCTCCACGGAATGTAACTGCTCTTATCTGGTCCACCCACCTCCCAGTGTTATTGTTGAATCTTGTAACGGTTTATATTCTTAGACATGAAAAGGACACAGGAATGTAGAATTAAATGAATTCTCCAGTGGTATCATCGGCTTTACAATTGGACTATTAGTTTGGAATGTGGGGGGAGGGGGGGCATCATCATCATGCATCATAGATGGACTGTAGAGAAGAAAGGGAGTCAAAATTGGTGGACAAGAGAAGTTATCTCTACTGTTGTGATTCCAGAGATAGTCAACTGCCAGATGGAAGGATACAACTGAAAATTAAAAAAAATACTGACCCTAACAGATGGGCCAGCATGACTAATACCATAACTTGAGTCTCATATTCAAGGGGATCCCCACTTTCCCTTTTAAAGATTCTCTCAATCAATATCCTTCCTCTGATAATTAAAACAGATTCAGGAATTGGTTTAAACTGACTGGGCATGATCTAATTCTTCTTTTCATTACGTGCAAGCATGAATTAAACTTGATTCTAAAAAAATTCCAGGAATTAAGTTCAGATAAAACGTAGATCATTCAAGTCTGAATCATACCGTTAAATTTGTATAACCTTGATTATTTCATGTTTCCTCACCTGCAATGCCATGAGTTCCTTCCACTTGTGATCAAGAGATGTGGGTCCATTCAAGCTCTTCTTCTCCAAGCCTTCAACATACTTGGCAAACTTCTCTACTTCAGTTTTGAACCTCTCTAAGGTATCAGCTTCAAGAAATGGATCACTCTTCACACTGATTGACTTCTTCACTTCAGTGCTTTTCTTACTTAATGCCAGCATACTTAAGGACTGTAAGGGAAAGACAGGAATCCTATGTCATATTCAGGCCTCAATAGACAATGCCCTGAATTCACAGGAATCATGCCTTGAATGAGTCCTCAATGAAACATTGGGTGGCACAAGAAAAAAGTATCCTGTCATGACACCCACTGTGGAAATTCTAGGTTCATGATTTTTTTGTATCACATAGGAAACACTACAAATTTATTTTCAGAAAGTTTCAAGTGTCTAGGTTGTCTGGATAAAAAGCAACATTCATTCAAAGTGGTGTCACAATATGTATAGATTTTTCAAGCATGAGGTAAATTCAGTCTCAGCATTGCTGATTTCTCTCCTTTGATGCCATTTCCAAGCCATAGTATTTTTGATTGGGTAGAGTCTTTAGGATACAGGTGAGAAGGTAAGACCTATATTAGATAGTGTGTTTAAAGCATCAAGACTGAAGAAGGAAGAGGACAATGAGAGTTTCATATGAAATTTTGGACTCTGTCTTACCTGTCCAGCTCTTCTTTCGAAAACAGCCCTTTAACCCTTTCATTGCCAAAGGCAATTGCAGTCGCCCATTGTTCTATTACCTCTCCAAAATTTAGGAAGCAAAAGGGTTAAAGCAGTGACTTATCTTTTGAAATATACAACATGACACTGAATACTTAAGAACATTGCTATAAGAATACAGCTATAAGATGCAGGCTTTTTGCAACAAATGGGACACACCTGGAGAGTATTGCTGAAATCACCACCTCCCAATACATTGAAAAGCACATTATTCTAAATAGAAGTTTTAACAACTGTTGCTCTTTATCCAAAAAAACTAGATGTCAAAACTTTCATGAAGCAAACTTAGTGTTTTCTGCATAATGCAAAAAGAAGGGACAAATCTAGTATTTCTACAGGGTGTCTGAAAAATGTGGAACCATAGGCACTTCCCAATGTTTTTGTGATCAATGTTTTTCTTTCTCTCTGGATGGCATGCATTAAATTTGGCAGCAACCTCCTGCTGGAACCAACCTTCTCTGCCATTGGTTCCAGATTTTCAGACACCCTGTGCATAGGTTTTATAAAGCCTCAAAAAGGAAACTTTTATTTGCAGCACCCAGTAAATGTTTTCTGAAGGGTCTCCTAGAATACAAACAATTTATTTGTTCTCCCTATTTTAATTTGACATAGTGTTTAGCCACTAGATGATGAAAGTGTTAGTTTTCAAGGACTTTACACTAAATATTTTAAAGATTCTGACTACTGCACAGCAGTAGTCAGAATCTTTAAATGTGGTCTGTGGTAAATTACTTTGTTACCATCACTTGCAAATAGCTTGAGTAATGAGAGAGAGAGGATGATGTATCTTAGGCAGGTATCAGTCTAGGAATTGAATTACAGCCATCAGGAAACATTTTATACTTACTTTTATCAAGAAGTATGTTTTAAGTTTGACTTCCACCTATTTTATAACCTTATTATCACTTTTATTAACTACTTTATTCTTAACTACAATGCTTTCTTTTAATGGAAGCAGAAGTTTTAAATTTTATTTTGAACAGTTTTTCAGATGCCAGGAACCTGGAGTCTGTCATGATCTCAGAAGGTAATTGCTTAGATCAGCCAAGTATATCATTGTTCCTACAGGGTGACACAGGGTATATGGCTCCTTCAGAGGGGGGGGGGAGAGAATCTTTGGTGGCACCCTGGGCCAGCACTCCAGGAGCTACAGGTGGTTCTGATGCAATATGTGATAAAAGCAAAGCTTACTGGCAGTGACATATCATTGAAATATACAAAAAAGTGGCCATTGGTTGGCCAGCTCAAATTATTGGGCCCAAATGCTGAAACCTCCTTTAGTTCATAGTCCTTTAAGAATACATGGACTCCAATGGGAGAAAAGGAGCACTTTAGCTTAAAAGCCCCTTTATCTTCCCTAAATAAGGGCTTGTGCATTCAAGCCTTGCGCCTGAATGACATCACATACCACATATTCAAGTCTTAGGTTCGAATGCACAAACCTCACTTAGGGGAGACAAAGGTTCTTTTAAGCTATAGAGCTCTTTTCTCCCATTTGAGTCCATGTATTCTTAAAGGGCCATTAACTAAAGGAGGCTTCAGCATTCAGGTCTATGCCTTCATACAAAAATAAGAGACCACTTGTTTGCTTAGAGATAAATAGGAGCTTACAGCAGGTAGTTACATTTGGAATCAGATTATATATGCAATAGCTGCAGGATATTATTATTATTATTAACTTTTAGTGAACTGCTACTCTGAGCAATAATACAGTTGTACAGGTTTTCCAAGTCAAATGTGGAAATGAGAAATTCAAATGTGTTGCTGTGCTGGATGTTGGACTTCAATCCTCAAAGTGTTAAACAAGTGGCTTTCCAAAAGTAATGAAAATGAATTTATTTTGTTAACCATTACAGATATAGGGCTCAAACTGAATACAAGTGTTTAGCTATGATTACCTATGCATGTCTCATTTTCCTATATAATCTCACATTCGCACATCACATTCCACACATTTTCTCCAGTGTTTACCAAGGGCATTGAAGCTTGCAAGATAAAACTCTGGTGATCATGCCTTCAGCCGCTCCTGAATTGCGTGCTTCAAAGCTTTGTCACTTGCAACATGCACACCATGAAGGGATTCCTCCATGTGGCCAAAGAAGTGGAAGTCACTAGACATTGGGTCAGGACAGTACAGTGAATGGAGAATTGTTTTCCATCCAATTTTCTAGATGGCATCGATCACCAGCATTTTACCATGAAATCAATGAGACCTTCTGGAAAAAAAGAGAAAAAGTTGGGGCATCATTTAACCCCTTCACTGGCGTGGACAAGCTGGTCTTGTCATTTAGCGAGACCATTCTGAAAACATGCCAGTGAAGGGGTTAAGGCACTTTTGGGCATTCTGATTTAGTATTGCAAAAACCTTTACTTTACTGTAAAATCATGTATTAAATATTTCACCACAAAGGTTTACTAGTTAAAAAAATAAAGCATCTACACAAATAATCATACCCTATTAATTCTTAGCCAATCTGACATCCTTGAACTTACAAGAATTATTGGAAGTAATTAAAGAAACATTGGCTTTTCTTATAAATCAACTGCTATGTAGTTCATTATGGTCCTGCTTAATACTAAAACCATTGGCAGGCAAGCCTGACCTGAACATTCATAGTGGTGCACTACAATCATATTGGTGGTGGGTGATGCACCTATACTCAGTGAAGAAGCATGCTCCTAAGAAGAAAAAGATAAAAACTTGCAACCTTTGTTTCAGTGGCACATACAAGAAACTTTTATCAATTTCAGCGAAAAGTAAAATAATAGCACAATGCAGTTTCCATGTATGGTATCTCTTACCTAACAAATGTCATTAGGATAATTCCTATCTTTGTGAGTGAATAAGTCATGCTTGCTAAGTTTTTTTTTTTTTTGGCTCACTCACTGGATAGTGAAGATTCTGCCCTGTAATAGATATCTCATAGCCTATCATGAATCTTAAATGATGTCAAATTCCTAACTCACCTTGGCTACATCAACATTTAACGATGATCCATCCAAATTTTGGGTATTTGGTACCACATCCTCTTCCTTTTTTGCCTGAGATGGTTTCAGAAGCTGCACAGAGGAGGGAATATCAAAGGAGATGTCTGACAGGAGATCCAAAGCTGATGGCTTGACACCTTGAGGCTCCTCATGTGATGGCATCATGCCTACTTGAACAAGGTGATGACCTCCAAAACTTGGAAAAAATGCAGTAGATGAAGCACCAGGTTGATGTGGACTTATATAGGAACCTTCACCAGAGCTCATGGACATGACCACTGCAGGAACAGTTGTATATGAGGGTCCACCATCAGGATGGTTGCTCATACATGCAGGAATCATAACTTCCTCTGTTGTCATAATGGTATGGTCTGAGTGTGTGGATACAGGAGAAGCCATGGATCCATAGGAATGTTGAGGGACTCTTGTGGAATAATATGGATAAGGTAGAGAACTATTTTGACCATATGGTCCCCCTAGGGATTTGGGGCTGGAATATACAGTTCCAGGCATGGAGATACTTGCTGTGGTCACTGCTGCTTCATTCCACTGCGGAGAACTCCTTATTCCTGAATAGCTGGTTCCTCCCTGATGAGGAGCAGGGAGGAGTTGAGCTGCTGAGACATGTTGACCATCTGGGGTATTTTGATGAAATTGGGGGCTATAACTCACTCCAGACCCTCCAGGGTGACTCAAACTCATGACAAAATTACTCTGCGTACTTCCAGTAGAAGAAAAGGGATATTCCTGTGGAACATAGCCGTAATGATATTGGGTCTGATGGCACTGATTGGGGGCTTGGACACTGGCAGGAGGAATATATGCTGCACTGGTAGCTCCAGATGAGGTCAAGGATGTTGTAGGATGATGGTATGATTCACTGTATATTGGGCTGCTTGACACACTTGAGTGAGTTCCACTATAGGGAAATGCTCCTGAAATGGCCACCGAATAAGCAAATGAAGCTGATGACGGTATTGTCTCACTTGCATGATCTGGTGGTATGTAGGAGTTCCAGTGATCTCTATAGGCTTGACCTGGAATGGGATTCAAGTTCCCATGAAGAACTTGGGAAGGGGTATGACATCGATAAGGGCTGTCTTGTTCTGTGGCTTCTGATCCGATTGGTGTTGGCCGATCATCCCCAATCGGATAACTGTCATAAGAGTATGCCTGTTGTCCAGTAATCACCCCTCCCTTAGTCTTTGCAAGCAAGAAATCCTTAAGTTTCGGTCCTGTGGGCTCTCGGTTAGGCTTATTGGAAATTGGGAGCCTATCATTCACCTTCTTCAAGTAAGCCAACCTCTCTTCTTCTTGAACCTTGAAGGTACTTCGCACTCGCTGAATCAACTTGTTTACATTTCCTCCCAATTTCACATAAAAGTCAATCCCTTTTTTACCTTTCTCCAAGAGGTCTTCATAAGAATCATATGATGATATCAGGGATCGGATTGTTGCCTCCCGGATTTGCATGACTTCCACAACCTTCTTCCGTGTTGGTGCATACATAGCATTGGCTTCAATCAATGCCTTCAAGATGTTTCCCTGTGCACTCATGTTCATCTCCAGTAGGCTGACCTGAGAAAACCAAGAAAGATGCCTCAATTGAATTCAATGACATGGGAAAGAGCACTGGGAGGTATATAAAAGTAACAAAAATACAATATTGCATACCAATGACCATTGACCAATTGCATACACAAATTCAGCTCTTGCATTACCTCATCTCTTCTATTCAAAAGAACCTAATAGTCTGAAAGCAGCAAATGTTTTCTCAAATGCCAGGAAATTTTAAAATTTTCCTGAAGCAATTTCCAGGAAAAAGGATTTGTTTTAAATCTTTCAATTTATTTCTTCTAACTTGGATGGGAGAATGGTGAACTGGGTGCAAAGGCTTTGTGATTGATGTAGGATACAGGAATGAGGATAGAAGAGAAAGGGGAATTCTAAAAATCTTGAAGCAAAATGCATGATTGTGGATCACAAACTTTTTGCAATCAAAGTCCATTATGGTTGTTGTTTAGCAACCATAACAATGGATTTATAAAATTTTCTATTTTTTTTTACATCTGCATCAGGGCATATTTTAATGTGCAGTTGTAACAGATATGTGCAGTTATCAAATATTTTGTGAAGTTCTGAATCATGCATTAAAAAAACTATGCAAGAATTATATTATGAAAAAAAAATTGATTTAAAAATGGTGCTAAATCTAATTTTCCTTCCCAAATTTTTATGCTTCATGCAGGGGTGAGGCCACCTAGCACCATACCAACTACTCCTACAAAGGAATTACAATCATTTGTGCAATTCTGATTTCTTCTTAAAATATGCCCTGATCTGCATTTAGAGTCACCATTCAAGCTCACTGGAGTATTAACATTTTCATGTCAAATTATTGGCTCAGTAAGGGGTGACTTGATACAATTGTACTTTTTTTGCATTTAGACTCAAATTCAACTAGTAAGGTGACTATGTCAGACAGATTATGTTTATGAATAATGTGGAGGTTATCGGAGGTTTATTTCTTCATCTGTCATTCAATAGAATTCACAGGAGACTTTAATAGACTTGAGAATAAGAACCAAGAATGAAAACAAAGTCTCTACAAAGAAAGAGGAGATTGTAGTGCTCCTCAACAGAGTTCCAGGGGTCTAATAGAACCACCTCATAGAATCAGCTGGCCTACCATACCTACATCCCAGTCTTGACAACCTGTCTTCTGCATGCATTTAATACAGAGTAGGCCATAGGTATTCATACCAAATCAAAGTCTTTTTATTGTGTTTCCTGTACTAATAATTTCTGTCTGAATCAGTTGAATCTCGAGACACAAAGACCCGCTGTAACAATTTATAAAATATTTTTTGTGTCCCCCTTCTTGTTGATGGCAACCCACAATTCTCCAGTCTGTTGGTCAAATACATTGGATGTACATAGCTCCACTCCTCTTGCAGCACCAGCCTTAATTGATTTAGGTTGCTTGATTTTGGTTTAGGAAACACTTATTTCCACCAGGCTTCACATACAGTAATCTATCAATTGCAGTAATAACTGCAAAGGGCCCAATAATTTTTTTTAGCCTCTTCTGTGTCTGTTTTCTTACCAAAAATTCAGTCCAAAAAAGATCAAATTTACTATAAAATTTCATTTCTATGAACATTTTAATATCTGAATGCAAAGTCTTGTTACATGATTGTGCCATATTCAAGCTTTATTTCAATATTTCCATAGGTGTGCACAACAGGGGTATAAGCATTAACATTTAATATACTTCTTTATTATAAGTATTATCAAGAGCAAAAAAATTCACATAAAATATTGACGTACTTGGTGTAGTTTAGTGAGGTAGATTTCAAAGTACAGAAGTGTGAATGAAAAGTTGGGTGGATAAATTTCATATAGTAATCTTTTCTGCTGCCTGAAGTGGGTTTGGGCAAGATAATTTTGACACAAACTACTGTGCTTGAAAGGAGTTTGGGCAAATAACAGGTGGGGTTAATAATCTTTGCAACATGATCTGCTAGACAAGTTTTTGTGCATCATTCTTGGTGACTCAAAGAGGGAGTCCTACTGCAACACACAAGATTAGCCACAAAAGAGATGGTGACATAGGTACCAGACTGTTTTTTCTTTGCTTTTCTTGGGCATGCAGAAATAGAAAAGTTACATATGGTATAAGTATTTACAACCAACCCTGTAGAGAGAACCAACTTTTTGCTAGTAAACACAAGGCATCATAATACAACACAATAGCACAAACAATACCTGTACTGCCATGTGGACTAGAAGAGCTTAAGAGAGAATTTGGAGTGGGAATTCTAATATCTCACTCAGATCTCACTTCCTATGGCCAAAGCACTTGCCTAGCACTATCCAACACACCACAAGGAGGGATCTCAAGTCAACCCCTGCATGAGGTGTTATTAGTATTTTATTTTTCATAAATTATGCATTGGCATTAAGCTTCTGAAAAAATATTCTCATTAATGCACATATAATTGTGAACAACTTGTGTTTTCATATTCAAGTGCCAAACTCAGTATAAAAAAAAGTATGTTCAAAGTTTTTTCTTTCTGAAAAAAGGAAAATCTGACGATTGTGTGACGATACTAATGAATAAAAAATGGTTGAATTTGACTCAAATTTTGATTTTTTTATATCAGTGCAGCTATCTATGGATTGATAGGAATTATCCTAATTTGATTCCAACAAAGAAAAAAGCTGACAACTTAAAATGTTGAATACATAAATTGTACATTGAGTCACCCCTTTTACAATAACTCATGTGAATCACTCATCAACTAGGCTAAGTGCCACATTCCTCCAATGATGTTTTCAGAACAATCAGTGCTGATCAATAAAGAGCTCAAGGAATTATTTAAAAAAAAAGAAGAGAAAGAAAATTGCTTGGAATTTTATGTGCATGGTATTGTCTGGCAATAGAAAAACTATTCCCCCCTCCCACTTCTTCACACATGGAGGTTAGGAAGTGATGGATACCACTACCACATCAGCATGCTATCACATTCTCCAATGGAACCTGTGGCAGACAGCCTCTAGCAATTCTCTTACCAGGTGGTCATGCTTCTTAAGTTCCCGTTGAAATAATTCCTTCAAATCCTCCTCCTTGTGCATCATGATCTGCTTTGTTATGTCATCACTCCTCATTGCTTCCTTGAGCTGAGCTTCTAGGTGGCTTCTTTGCTGTCGCATCTCTTCAGCTTTCTGGAACAATCTCTGCAGCTCCTTTACTGCATCTCGATCTTCTGCTTCCCATACCAAAAACATTCTTCAACAATATTTTAAACAATAAAAAGATCTAAATCCTAGGCTTAATTGATAAATCCCACAACGTTACATTGAATAAGGCACAAACATGCCTTATTCAACATAAGTTGTACTTCATATGGCGCCAAGCAGCATACTGTACCAGCTACAATGATTGTACCATGCACTACTGTAACTGAAAAAATTTTATGCTATCAGCTGTTACTTTCAATCACATGATAGATAATGATCACCTTTTCATCTTCCTGACCCATATGCAACCACAAGTGGTTTGCATATTATAAGTGCATCCCATATAGCCTTGCAGGCCTCACGCATCAAGTGAAGGTAGCAGTGGTCTAGAGCAACCGAAAAGTCACTGGATGTGAATGGGGAAAAGAAAGTCATAATGTCATAATAGGGGATTTTGACAGGGTTGACAGGGACATGGGACAGGAGAGGTGGGAAAGAAGATAATGGAAAGACTGGGGAGTAAGAGGCGTGCATGTAAATGCACTGGCGAAGGTCTGTGGGAGCCTCTGGGAAGTAATCAGAAGATGGGGAAAGCTGGGAGCAGGCAAGAGAAGTCTGGGGGAACAAAAGTGTGAAACCCTCTCCTATTCCTTGCTTTTTCTGCTCTTCCATCCTGTGTTGCCCATGAGTTGATAATGAATCTTTAAATCTCTGCATAATGAAATGTCACTGTACACCTCCAATCATTTAGGTTACATTTTTGTCATTTTTGCATCCTTTCAGCATGGGTTGGCTAAATGGCAACAGGCCTCAGTGCACTTCTTTGCTTGCGTTTCATTATTAAACTGGCTACATTTTAATTATTTTATTTCTGATTGGAATGTGTCACATATAGGTTGAAATAGTGTATGTATGAGTGGTAACTGCTATGTTAGCGACTGCATTGACTTGAGTCCCTTCTTGAGGGTGGCCTAGATGTTGGACATGACACAAGCAGAATCATGCCCAGTGTCCAGGACTTAATTCAAGGAGGAACTAAGGAATCTATTAAAATTCTATTAATCGACCAATTAATAGATTACATGGCTCACAATTAATCTATTACATTTTTTAATCAATCGACAGCCCTAGCTTTTTGGTGTCATAATTTCATATCATTATTACATGCTTGCAATTTTTCCTGTCAATATAGGTCCACATCCATGCAATTTCTGTACTTGTAATTCTATATCAGCATTACAGTTATCCCCAAAACCTGCCATCAAATTTTGTTGCTAACATCCAACAAAAAAATATACGTATGAGGGATAGAAGAGGAATGATTCAGTTGGTTACCACAAAACTCCACATGCCATGGTGAGAAAGACCCTTAGGCCTGAATGCTGAAACCTCCTTTAGTTAACATACATGGACTTCTATGAAAGAAAAAGAGCTCTTTAGCTTAAAGGCTCTCTCTCTTCTTCTTCCTCACTTCTTAATGTCACTGCTCTTAATGGAGTTATTTTCACAAAACTTATGCTCTACATAGGCTGATATGCTCCCAACAGATTATTTTTATTTATATCAAATATTTATATCAAATTTATTGGGGTGAGTTAAGGCTGTGTACTTCTTCAAAAGACATTTCAAATTGATGATGGAAACATGCAGATGTTAGATGAATGAAGGAAACACCTTCAGTCTCTGCTTGCATAACATCCAGGCTATATTGAAGGTCTCTTCCATTGAAATTCATTATATGCCCTTATCTTCCAAGCAGACAATTTGATAAGCCTTCATTATAGCAGAGGAATCAATAAGAGTCACTGCAGAGAGTTTGCCCTAAGTTTTCTCAAATTTACCCCTGGCTTACATTGAAGATGGACACAGGTGTGGAGTGCAGTTTTTTGAGAACATATCAATCCATGCAGAGAGCATATTTTCAAGCTTCAACAAGGGCAGAGTCATAGGTTGAAAAGTTGGAGTTTTTATAGCCCTTTCCTGCACAATGGATTGCTTGTTGGCTATCTGTAAACATTCCCAATGCAAAGTAGAGGATTGAAGAGCATGCTTATATTTTGACCAAGGTATAATCTTTTGGCTGCAAGGCATGGAGTTAAGGAAAAAGTGTGTAGCTATTGTACATTAAGTTAAAAAAAAAAAGCCTCCTAAGATTTGAAAGAGTGCTTCAAATATCAGAAAAAACTTTAATTCTATGAGGGGAGGTCCAAAAGTTCCTGTTCTGACTATGATAGAAACATCAGAGAGATAAGTTCTTGTCATCTCTTTGTAGGCCTACTCTTAGTATATAAGAAGCTACAACTTCAGATTTTTCCTGTTAGTTGTTGTTTATCTCTAGTCTGCTAAACACGGTTATTCTTGCTATGAACAAATTAGAGTACAGGGCAGTGAAAAAGTTTTTGACCAAAGAGAGTCAGACACCTTCCGAGATTCATCAACGGTTGGTTGGCGTGTACGGGGAGAATGCCCCCTCTCAGACCACAGTGAATAATTGGTCAAAACTTTTTAAATGTGGCAGAGAATCTTTAGAAGATGATCCTTGAAGTCGAAGACCGATCGAAGCGACTTCGCCGGACATTGTTGAACAGGTGGAACAGCTGGTGTTGAATGATGGCCGCCTGAAGAAAAAGGAGATCTCTCTCATGGTCGGGGCATC